GCGCGCACGCGCGGAGCGCAATATTTTCAAATGTACAGCAAAACAGTTGGGAGCGCATGGCAGTCCTAAAAACCTATCCCTATCCACCTGCAGGTTGGATCATACCTACACCTCTAAGCCACACCCCACTTTGTGTACAGAAGAGGGCTTCGGGTTTAGGGTAAAATACTATACACACAGTCAGGTATCCTGAAAAAGGGGGACAGGCGTTTAGGTCTAGCTACTGGTGATGGAACATGTTGCACAACGCTGTACACGTACACGTTAGGATAAGTGGCATTACAAGATACATCGGGCCATACAGGATAGTGAGCATCAGCCGTGTCAGGGGCAGACCGGGTATAGAGGGAGAAGAAGGGGCAGCGCATGTTTTGTTCTTTTCGGGCTGAGCATTTAGGTTCAGAATAAAGGATTTAGGTCCAGGCCTAGGATTAATCTACCCTGATATAAATGCGAGGTAAGCACAAGCATTTACCGATTCAGGATGTGATTAGGGTTCAGAGTGTGGCGTTAGGTTTTGGCGGGATGCGGGTTTGGGGTGTATTTTTTTGTTTTGGAGTTAGCTGTTGAGGACCCCTGACGGTCGCAGTAGCTAAGTAGTTTGCATACCTGTATAACGGTCACGTACACACATGTTTCTCCATAGTTGCATGATTATGAGCACATTCGGTTTACTTGTTCCGTCCCAGTGGGTAGCTCTAAGCACCGCCGGCTTCTGATCCAAAGCCCTAAACCTCCGTCTGGGCTGCTGGATGAGTTGGAAAAATCAGGCGAGCTTCCTTCTTAACTCGAGCTATGGGACATGGCACGTAGGCTGCAGCCAGGTGTGTGCGCTGGAGATCGAACAGCGGCAGCAGCAGGAACATGGGCTGTTTGGGCTTAGGTATTGGGACATGGTTCAGGGATATTAGAGCGCATGATAGGGTTCAGGGTTTAGGGTTCAGTGTTTACGGGTTGGGGTTTAGGTTTCAGGGTTCAGGGTGTGGCTAGCAGCTGGGATTGGGATTCAAGGTGCTTAGGTTTTCGACATGACTCCTATGTACGCCCCAGAAGGCCCCATGACAAAACACCTCATCACGGCGCCCCCGGGGGCTGCAAGACGACCCGGCCAATAAACCAAAGTGTGAGCAAGACATGGTAGTTTCAAGAAACAGGGAACGCCAATAAAGACCACCATAATACTTGCTATAGCCCTTACTTACTTATTCTACGAACCCCTGAAAAGGTACCCCTAACTTTGGGAAACCCTAAGCCCTACACCCTAAACCCTCAACCCTATAGATTCCTTATAAGTATAGTCTAATAGTCTGCATTAAGTAGATGGAATATGGGGTATTCGGGGATCTTATTAGAATATACCCAAAGCCATATTCTATCTACTTAAGGGGGACTATACATAGTCCCCTTTAAAGGGACCCTTACTTTTGGGAAACCCCCACATAGGGCCAGCACTTCATAGGATTTCCAAGGATGGAGCATTCGCAGTTAAAGGGTAAATGGTTTAGGGTTTTTTGGTTTAGGGTTTTAGGGTGTTTGGTTTAGGGTTTGGGGATTTAAGGGTTTAGGGTTTTAGGGTTTCAAGGTTTAGGGTTTTAGGGTTTTAGCAGGGATCTCCGATGCTCTTTTCTTAACTCTGGTACGCATGGGGCCAAGGAATAAACAAGAACAGAAAATACCATATACATACGTGGACCTCCGCACTTGCCACATTCCATCCTAAACCCTTAACCCCCAGACCCCAAGTCCTAAACTGCCTGATTTTGAAAGCAGGGCCTAAGCCTACCTTGACTGCCACGGGGTTTAGGAGTTTAGGGGTTAAGGATGTAGGGGTTCATGTTTCAGTTCAGAGTTTAGGCTTATCTGCCCAACCCTACCTAGCCCTTACATGAGCACGTATCTCAAGGATTCCCAGCTTTAAGCCTCCGCTTGAACATTCTCTTTCCAGGTCCAGGTACCCAAATAATGGGGCTTTAATCCCCAAACACAATTCAGACTAGAGTGTGACCTCCTTTATAATCCCCATTTACAATTCAGACTTTAACGTCATCTGGAAAAGCAGCTCTATGCGGTTCCATGTTACTTTGAGGGGTGGTAAACCGTGAAACCTTAAGCTCTAAACCCTAAACCCTAAACCGCCCTGAAACCCGCGCTGCATCCGGTATTCTGTTGGGAGGCAGGGACTTCTTGTACTCCGCAAGGCCTTATCCTCAAAACCCTAAAAACCTTTAACCCTAGAACCCCCCAAAAGTGCTGACCAAAAAGCAGAAAAACAAAACAACTCTATACAATTCAATAGAACCCTAAAATCCTGAACCCTGGGACAAGGCTGAGTCATGAACAGTTGGTAGTTTCCAGGTGGCCACCTCATTAAACTGGGCAACTTAAAGCGACCTCGCCCGACCTCACCTAAACGGTGGTTTGTATAGGGAATAGTACCACAACGGCCTTGAATGGGGAATTTAAATTGGTCTAAACTACCTTGGTTTAAGGGGCCTACCGCTGATACTAAAAATCCTGCATGACCTTAGTATGCTATAGTACCATAATTCCCAAGGTATAAGGAACCAAGCTCATGCAGGGTTTGTAATTGATATCCACCGTATGTAGGTGGGGCTCTTTGCGGTAGGGAATAGGGTTTGGGGTTTTAGCTAGGGTCAAGTAAGTAGTTTGCTTTGATGGCGGATACCAAAGTTGGCAAGATCATAGGGTGAAACTGGTCTTGGCTGTTTGGTTGACGCGTGAAATAAACAGCCAGTTGGTTCAAACACCAACACCAAAAGCTGCCGCTCGGGCTAGCTCTAGCTTCCCACAGCCTGACAATAATAGCTTTTTGTTTAGGGTTCAGGGTTTAGAGTGGCTGCGGCACTACAAAACAAGCTGTGGGTCTAGTGGGCTTACCACGGGGCTTGATGCAGCGTTTCTTCACAGAGCCTGCTCCTGAAGGATTGCGCTCGTTATTTTTGGCGGGGACATGTAAGAGACTGTTTCTTATTGGGGTTAGTTGGAAATATGGGAAGTAGGGAGCATTCACTTATTCCCCACCAAGCCCCAGTAAGGTTGAGGAGGAGTTTTCATAGTTTCTTATGACCTTGGAGCTCCATTCCCCAAGGGCTTTCAGTTCCTATAAGGCTGCATCTGAGACCCCAAGAATCTTGAGGAGCTGAGGAGCTCCAGCACAGAAGTTGTCATCTTTTCGTTATGACATTGGAGCTCCCCCCTCCCCCCTCCCCCAGAGGGTCTTCATTTTGTTCCAAGAAGGCTGGGTCCGAGATCCCCAAGAAAATGGATCTTCATGACTTTTTTGGTTTAGGATTTAGGGCTTAGAGTTTAGGGTTTAGGATCCTTTCGTTAAGCCAAGCAGAGCTTTGTATGCGTTCCTTTCGGGCTTTAAATTTTAGAGGAAGTCCATCAAGGGGCATTCTTGAGCTTCAATGTTTGTTTGAAGAAGTCAACAACCCCTAAACCCCAAAGCCTGAATGCTAAGCCTTCGACCCTAGCCTTCAACCCCTGACCCCCAAACCCCTAAACCTCAAGCCCCTAAACCCTAAACCCTAAACCCTCCAAAAGGAGCGGAGGCAAGAGCTTCAGGAGCAGCTGCAATCTCAAGGAATTGAGCTCCCTGGAATTTTCTCAGAGGGTCCATGTACCCAGTAATTTTGTACTTGGGTTTTGGGTAATAGTAATTATAACACTGGTTTTAGGTAAGTATATGATTATTAGGTACTTGGACCCTTAGGGTTTTAGCTTAAGATTTAGGGGATAGAGTCTAGGGGGCAGGGTCGCCCAAGTACTGAGGTCCAACAGCACCAATGACTCAAAGTTTTTCCACAACACTGTTCACTCCTCGATCCCCATATGAAATCTCGGGCCTCACTAGTGAGGCGTATTCCTTATCATGAAAGGCATGCGTTAGCAGGGTTATTGGTTAAGGGCAGCCGATTATGACATTAGGTTTGCGATCAGAGGTTCAAGATGTGTCACTTGAGTTCTGGTTCACAGCTGAGGCCCTAAACTCCGAATCCTAAAGCCTGAACCCTAAACCCTAAACCCAAGTCCTAAACCATCCCATATTCTAGCCGGCAAGCCCTAAACGCTGCCCAAGCAGCCCTTCCTTTATGAGGGCTCATGTCTCCTCTCAGCCTCTTGCAAGGCTTTGCACTTGAACAGCCTGAGCCTTTAAACCCTGATCTCCAATTTCCCAACCCTCAACCTCCAAAGCCAAGAAGCGCACCCCAGGGTTTTAGGGCTTACCTGGACTCTCGGGTTGACCCAAAAAATTGGCCATCCTAATATGGGCCTTGATATTGGCCTTAAGGCCAAAGGCGTCCTACAACTCATGCCCCAAGGAAAGAAATGCATGTGTGGGCTTGGAACCTGCTAGATTCCTGTGATGTTCATGCAGTCCCCGGGCCTCTGGAGTGTTTCAACGCTTTCAACGCTTTGCGACCAATAGGAGGCTGATGCCTTTACAGAGAGCATACTTCACGGGAATGCATCCAAAGCAGATCCTACCCACATTCCAAAAGACACCCCTTCCTGAACCAAACAACACCCAAGCAGGACACATAGCATAACCCTAGGGTGGATGGACAAATTCATGAACCACTTAAGATCCCCAACATATTGTTATGGTATATAGGGTATGTAAGTTGGCACATGATTTCCTCCATCCACATTATGACCTCACCGAACACAATAGCATCCATTAAGATTACAAAAGCCCTACCTAAGCCAAAACCCTTTGTCGATCCATGTCACGCTGGTCGTGCGCAGCAAGCATGGCCGTCCGGCACTCTGTGGCTATGGGGATGGAGATCTTAATTTCAGGGTTTGTAGCATTCCTATACCCGCTATGTAGGTCTTCATAGCGCACAGATTTGCACAGGCACGGAATGGAAAAAAAGCTGGGCACATACATAGAGACATAACAGCTACTTGGGGACATATTATGTGTTTGGGTGGGCCAACAACATGAGCTAAAGGACTCATGATGCATATTCTTAGATGCCCAGCTTCTCCCATTCCAAATGGGTTTTGATCAAGTACCTTTGGATTGTGCGCTTTCCGCACGTCCTAGCATGAACGCGGCGCGTTATGCGCGACACTAGGCCGATCCAATCCTCGCCCATTTCGCACAAAAATGAGGCTGGCGAAAAGATGACTGGGGCATCTCTGTTGAGGGCTTCCTCCAACCGTAAACCGACATGCTTAAAGACGTGGAGTGTTGGTTCCATGTGATACACGGCCAGCTTTCGAGACAGGAAGAAATTGGCCAAATAGCTGTAAGAGCCACATATGACATCCACGCAGGCCACAAGTTCTGACGCAATACCCCGACTGAGGAACAGCTTCTGCTTGTGGAGTATCGAAAAGAATTCAAGCAAAGCGCAGCTGCAGTCTTGCATTGCTCGTAGAGCATGTTCGCGATCGCCGCCAGCAGCTAGCAGGGAAACACCTTGCCTTTTGTTCTCTTCCGGCTGAACTGGGCCCTCGCGTAGCAGAAGCAGCAACCAGCGTGCCAGCATCAGCGTGTCAGCCGCCTTCCAACCTGCTTAGGGTCTATTGGGTTCATATAGGGCTTGTAGGGCTTATTTAAGGTTTAGATAGGGCTTATGAGGTTTAAGATTTTTAAGAGACAGACACACAATGTTTTTTTCCAAAATGAAACACGCTATACGCACGAACCGCAAGAACAACCCAGACCCCCTAAAGGATCCAAAACATGGAACCCCCCAATATGAACCCATTACTACATTGGGGAAACTAGAGGATTATATAGGGGGGTTCCAATTTTTGGATCCTTTAGGGGGTCTGGGAAACCATGGTGTTACCAAGAGTCCTCCCCAAGGAAATGCTGACCGCCGTGGCCAGTGCAGCAGGTCTTTTGCGAACCCTTTCAAGTTGGGAGTCTGCTGAATCTCATTCTTACAACACCAGACGAAGTCAGAATGTGCTAGCAGCAATAGCTTCTCAACAGATTCGGAAGACCCAGGCCAAACATTGTAGTCGCCAAGTACGATGATGGAACTTTCCAAGGAATGCCGTCCAACACCCAATTTCAGCAAGTGCATCGGGTCAGATCTGAACATCCGTTCAGGCGCTTCACGTGAATACGGCACAGGCAAAAAGCAACTTGGCCGGATATCCACCCAAGGACGCTGGGCATATAAAGTGTTTCGCCACTGCGCCTGACAAGTGAGGTCTTCCCATGGCAGGCCAGCTTGTCCCGCCAAACAGTGGAAACAAACGCCCTTGTCACCCTGTAGATGCTGAAACGTTCGCGTAAACCTGCCAGCTTTGTTTAGTGCCGGCTGGTCGCCTTTGACGCCGATCAGAACCAGGAACCACTGCTCACCGCCAACTGTTATGCCAGTAGTAAAGGCACGTGCCAAATCCAGTCCAACTTGCGCACACACCTGCCACCACATAGTGTTTTTTTTGCCTTTGTAAAACTTGTGAGGCAGAACATATAGCAGTAGCCGCGAAACTAAAGACGAACCGCTGTTTGTGTCGCCCACGCAGCTCCACATAAGTTCGCTCGTCCAGGTTTTCGTCCTGCAGCTCTTCTGGAACAGTCTGAACGAGTCATGCCCGAAGACTGTTTCAAGCCCGCACACTTGCACGGGCGCCTTGCGCAGGCCTCGCCCTTCATCCGAGTAGAAGTATACAGGGATGCATCTCTCCAGGCATTGACCATGCGCCCCAAAAACTTCATGCGTGGGCTCGTCGTACCAGAACGCCTTCCAGAACGCTCGCAGAAACATTGGCCGAGCAGGATGATCGCGCGTGAATCCACCCAGCAGAACGGATGGACGCCGGACCAACAAGTACTCGAACCAGGTTTGAACTTGCAACATCGGGGCCCAATGGAGGCCCCTGTTCCAGAAATAAATGTTCAAAGGTATTGTCATTCCCCAACCAGCGATTGTCTTGTGCAGAGCCACCTCTGCCCGTGGCAGCGTTGTAGCACTCAGTGATGCCACACCCTGCAGAATGTAGGGCGCCTCTTTGTGCGCAGCTTTTGCGAAGCGAACAACATTCGCCCCCGAATCCTTGCTATAACACAAATGCCCCGGTGCAACAGACAAATTGCCTCAAACAAGCAGGAAAACTTGCAAAAAACACCCTGCTTCTGAAAGCTAACAAGGTACTCCACTTGCCAGTGATTGAACAAGCTGCAGGGCTGTTGGCCCTGGTTTTCCATCACCTGCGAAGGGGGGCTTCAACTTGCATTACAGCGACGCTTTCGAAAATCTTCCTTTATGAAATCCAGTCAAAAATTTCCAAGTGGGCGTAAAAAAAACAAAACTGGAGTGAACCCTTCAAGGTACCTAGTCCGGAAGAAACGCTTTTTCTAGGTAGGTTGAGATATGTAAGTATATAGACATACACCCGCAAGGAAATAATTGTGTAATGGGTTCCACATTTAGAAAGGGAAGTCTTCATGTTGGTGAGCGCTAGCAGCATTTCTTGGGTTCCTTGGTTGTGCACAACGCTTGGGATTTGTGTGGGCCTCAGGGAAGGTTGGTACTTGCGTGCGCAGGGTTGCCTAGGCAAGTAAGGAAGTTGTAATAGAACGTGAATGGGGCCCTATATGAAAACCCACACCGTACTAGAATTTAGGTGGAATAGGGGTTGCAGAAAATTCTTATAATGTGTAGGAGCTAGTGATGCTTTGGGAACTGGAGCAATCATTTATAGGGGTTGCAAAATGCTTGGGGCATCGATCTTCCAGGAGCACAGAGATACGAGTTGTAGATAAACGTTTTGAAGGGAATAATGTTAGGGGGCCTCAGGGCAATAGAAAATCAGTGCAAGATGTTCGCCTTTCATTCTAGGGGGACCCCTTCTAACAGCAGCCTCACAGACCCGGAATCCCAACTGCGCTAGGTTTAGGGCTTATATAGGGTTTATATAGTTTAGCGTTTGTATATAGGGTTTATAGAGTTTGTAGGGTTTATAGGGTTTAAGGGCTTACAAGGTTTAAAGGGGGTTCAGGTTTATACAAGGTTTAGGGTTCTGATTCCCTACATCCCACCGTCTACCGTCTCATCTTGGATCACAAACACTTTGGCAACTGATATTTTGACGCTAAAAATTCCTCCATGACCTTAAGTATGATTAGGGTACTGCCCCAGCCCAATACCTATCTATGATAGGGGGCTTAAGATTAAGGGATGGAAATACAATCACGCCCAAACTCTGATTATCAAACATTTTTTATTGGGCGGGGGAAGTGTCCTAAATACTTCTATTTTCAGATACCCTGGGTCTAGCGCGATCATGCACGATTCTGTGAGGATCTGCCAAAACAGCAACCATACGAGAGTCGCCTGAATGTTTGATCTCACAGTAGGGGAACACTACAACAAACTAGGAACCATGTATATACCACGAACTAGAAAAGACAATGACTACGACCTCGGGAGCAAGACTGTAGACCAATTAAGACCCATCCTGAACTGTCCCCATTTTCGCAAGAAGCGGAGCAGTGTGTGTAGCACACTGTGACACTTTGCTCGGCCCTCCGAGGCTGGACCACGAACGCGCGCATGTGGAGAGCTGTCAGGCTCTCAAAATGAGCTTCTAAGATCAAGGACGTACGTGTCAAGTTGTTTTTGTGTAAGCCAGGTTTCCGGATTTATCTATCACTGCTCAAGTGAGGCTTTGTCAGGGTTGTCCAGTAAAGGGTTCACATAGTATTGCGATTGTACCAAGAACTCAAAACTACTAGGGTCAGGCTGCTGAAGGGCTATGTACATGTAGTCCACCATTTCATGTACGTCGGGTGATCATTTGGGGTTGCAGAGAAAAATGTGGCTTGCATCTTCAGGCGCATGTGTTCCCTACATGGGGGTTTGAAAAATTGGGGGTACCTTTTTGGGGGTCCCTATAATGAGGACTATAGTATTGCGGGCCCGACGTAGGGAAACCGATTTAGGGAAACTACCGAATCTTTGCATGTACGCTACACTTCCACTGTAGAAGCTCCATGAGCCGTGCGCGCGGAATCCCTTAAAGATTTAGGCGCTGGTCTTGCCAGTCTTGCGCGAAACCGGGGGCTTGGACTTGGATGCTTTCTTAGGGGGCTCTGGGGTTTCCTCATCCTCCGCTTCCTCCACCTCTTCTTCCTCCTCCTCTACGGGAGCCTTCGCCTTTGCTTTGGCTTTAGTCTTTGGGATGCCCTTGGCTTTTGCCTTTGGTGGCCCCGCTCCCTCAGCTCGGGGCTTTTTGGGCGCAAGCGCCTTGCCACGGGACTCGATGTTCAGGCACTCCAATGCCCTTACATGACAGCTCACAGAACCACAATAATGAAACACTTGTCCTGAGATGAGGCCCTTTCAAATTCGTAGAAAGCTGACTTCAATGGGTCGAGTAACGCCCGCTTCGCCTTGTTGTAGTAGCTCAGAAGACTGTCCTGCCTTGTGTACAGCCAGGGAACGTAATAACTCACTAACCCCTAGAATTACTAGTGGCCTCATGAATGATTCCCCCCAAAAAAGTACTGTAATCAAGGAATAAGTAGCATCCGGCTCGAGAATCCTTCAATGGATCCCTCACACCAGATTTCATTGATATTCTCCTGACACTCCTCCAAGGTAGCGGCCGTGGTGGCCATCTTGGACAACAGTCTGAGCAAGAATCTCAGAAACCCTATCGCCTTCAGAGGTATGGGCTTTGGTGGCGCTAGGTTCGGCGCGGGTCCGTAGGAATGATCATGGGGAGACATATGGGTTGCTAAGAGTTCTGTGTTGGCGGGGCCGGGGATCTGCATGTTTTCTCAAATTATGTCAGGGAACTGCTTCATCTGATCAGTGAGGTCACTCTGAGGGATATGCTTGAACTTGTCTCTCACATCACCGAGTTTCGAAACACGTTGCATGATGCTCTTCAGGTAGGTCTGGGCAAGCGTATCGGGCGCGGCCCCTCCTTCTAGGGTCGGCATGGACAAGTCTTGGTCCACACCACCTTGATTTGTTGGGAAGGGCCAGCAAGCCTATATAAACCCTGAACCCTATAAACCCTATAAACCCTCAACCCTAAACCCTATATATACCCTGAACCATCTACAATCTTAAGTGCTAGCAAAACCCTATAAACCCTGAATCCTTTAAAACCTATATAAACCCTCGGCCCTATAGGAACTCTAAACCGTCTAGTGAGGGGATTACGGGGGTATAGTGGCTATATCTATTCCAACAAAGAACATGTACTGCTCCCTGTCCAAAGAGCCTGAACCACTTGGAACTGCCTGGGCCGAATGCCCCACATCACCCAAGCTCGCGATGTTGAAGTCCATGTTCTTCCCCAGAACCAGTGACCCATCCTGACCCTTCTCCATCTCCGCGTTGTACGAGACAGTCTCCTGCTCCCGCTGCCGCTGCAAGGCTTTCATGCTGGCCGTGACCTTTTTCTCCACCCAGAAGGTGGTCCTCTTGGAATTGTATGTGTCAGCCTAGCCGGTCTGGGATATACTACGTCAAGATAAATCAGAATGCGCGATGTTAAGTTGGGGGAAGGCTGAAATTGAGAATCGTGCTCAATTCCTTTTGGATTTTAAGTCTATACGACCTGTGTATAAAAGTAAAGGTTGCAGATCACTACCAGGTAGCACGCTTCATGGCGGGGTTGGTCTCGGCTAGGGCCTTGATCTCCTTGATCCGCTCCCTTAGAACATGTTTTTATAAAGTCAAGATTTATACAGGGGTCTATATCTAGGTTCCCGGACTATACAAAGCTGTCCCTAGGGTTCGAGGGGTTGAAGGTTTTTCGGGTTTATAGGGTTGACATAAGATTTCAGGGGTTCTGGAGGGTACAGTTCAGACACAAACAAGATGCGCACACTTATATTTGAATCGCATGCAAAGGCTCTCCGAAATCTTCAGCAAATCCCGCATTTCGGCTTCCGTATGAAAATCACCGGTGACTTCGAGCTCCATGCTCTTTTCCTTTTCAAAGAAGAGGTTGACCTCCTTGAGGAATGCGTCCTCACGGCCGCACGCCAGGGGAAAAACAATTTACAAATAGGTATGTTGAGCAGACTATGTTGGCCCTGCGTGAGGCGTGGGGTCCTTCTGGCAATCAGCTTTCAGGAAAATCCTGATAAGATTGTCCCTGGACTTGCCGGGGGTGGACCATGCCTTGTGCACCTCGTCCGGCACCAGCAAGGAACCATTGGCCCGTCTTCGGCAGAAGCGGCGAAGTTTCTGCTTCACCGCCTGCGTCGCCCCTGAGATGTCCTTGCCATCATCATCATCACGCACATCCTCATCCTCGTCGCCAGCGTCGGCCTTCCCGCGCTTGTTCTGCAAAGAGTCCAGCTTTTTTGGACATGTCAGCCAAGAGGGCGTCCCGCTTGGCCAACTCCAGCTGCAAGTTCTGAAGGTGTTTCGTCAACTTCTGCACCTTCCACGACTCCTCATCCGCCGTTGAAGAAGTAGCATCAGATAGGCGATCCGACTGACTCATGCGCATCTCCATTTCCTTCGTGAAGTCCTCCTCGTCAAAGGTAGCCTGGAATCATCGGACGTGGATACAACGACTTCACAGTATACAGAGCTCCCACTCCATGCTCTTATACAAAATGAAATGGGAATTTGGTATTCAATTGAACCTTGCCATGCCCAGGCTTTTGCGGGGTTTCGAACGCATTCTGGTAAGGGTCCCTTGTAGAGGCCTTCTCTGGGCTTGGGGAGGCGAGCCCAAAAGCTTTAAGCCTCGTCATGAGGTCCCCTGCGCTCAAGTCATCATCCTGCTCTTCTGGGCGAGGCTGGGTCGCGGGGATTTCAGGTGAGTCCACTTGCAGGGTTGATTGCCATGAAGATGAGTCTTCTGGAATCTTGGCCGGGGAGGGCGATACAATCCTAGACTTCTTCGCATCCTGGGTCAGCAGGGGTGAGGGCGCATGTGCATTCTTGACTGGGGTAGAGAGGGTTGCCCGCTTGTGGGTGGCGCGCATGGCATCCTCCTCCGCTTTGATGAGCTGCTGAAGCTCCTATGTTTGTCGATGTTAAGGGTAACGTAATTTTTTTGGCACTATCGGGGTTTGAAG